AAACATGTTGCCATTTAATCACTTAGGAACTATCAGGAAGCACGATTTTTCTTTCGTATCAGCGGAGCAGCTGCAATATTACAACCCGTAGTCATCCATGATGTCATAATTTATCTCAATCTGGAAAATATGGTATCGACTTTCAAGGAATTGGAATTTTTATCGGGCAGCTGGCGTCCTAAGTGATGAAGCTGACGATGAAACAGATTAAACATGAATCACAAAAACGAGCTCATTACTTTTGGCTTTCAACTTAACAATTTTTCCATTTCAATATCCTTTCGGTAACTTCTATTCTATCGTATACGACTGCTACATTACAATTATATTCGTCCATTGACAATATCTTCCTAATGTTCAATAAAAAAAAATCTGACTATCTCAAGCCACAATACACGATTTGATTCACTTTTTTAAATACGCTCATATTTCCTTATCATACAATTCGCTTTTATCTCCCACATGTCGATTACATGTTACGTTTATAAATTATGTGTTTGTCCCCGACATACACGAGACCCTTTTACATTGCATAACAACCCAGCAGTTTCACGAGCGTGTAACGCAAGTTGCGTAGTCACAAAGACACAAAGACGGAGTATGCGCGATGTATAAAAATAGAAGTCGACCAGCAAGGCAAAAGGAAGAAGGCCAGTTCGCTAAACATCTCGCAGAACAAACCGGTATTCGCGTTTGCATCGTCGTGCAGAAAATTAAGCGAAGTGCTCAACAGACAGAAGAGAAATATATCTGCTCGCTTAATTAAAACGACTTTTATCGCAGCCTTTTTATTATCTCGTCATACGTGAAGTCCTTTGTACACGCGCCTTTCACTGACCGTTTGTTCTCGGTACGTCAGATTTGTTTAACGATAATAATAAGATTCGGGCGTTTCTCAAAAGTGTTTATTAAAATCCGACCGTTCAAACGTTCCGATGCCAATTAAAGCGATAGATATTTATTGTTCGTTTCACATTTTGTAGCAAATGGAATGGAATGGGTAAAATGAGCACAATACGTAACGTACTTCGAAACTCTTATCGAAAAATTTAATACCGTTTAATTTTTCTGACGTATTTATGGGTAATATGAAGTCTAGACGATTCAATAGGTAATTGGCGAAAAAAAAACACAAATACTAATAGCGTAAATAAGTCTGTGGTATGACTTTTTTTTTCACAAATCGACAGCAGCCTATTTACGTGAACATATGGATAATACGATCATAAAACAAGTAGACTGTTCACAATCCACTTTTTGACGTGATTCGTTTTTCCGACACTGTAATGATAAAATGATCACCGACCGAAAGGTGGAGAGACAGAAAGAGAGAGAGGGGAGAGGGAGGAGGAGGAAAGAGAGAGAGAGAGAGAGAGAGAGAGAGAGAGAGAGAGAGAGAGAGAGAGAGAGAGAGAGAGAGAGAGAGAGAGAGAGAGAGATTACGTTATCGAATCAAATTTGCAATAGCTAATTATGGTACGGTATAATCCGTTAATGAAGCTATACGTTAACTCGACGTAGAACGAGCTCTACCGAAGCATTATTTATAACAAACGCTGACAAATCCCCCGCCGAAAGTGCTTAACATTTGATCGAATATTTTCCAACGTTGTTCGGAAATTATATTTACTTGGCTGACACGTGATATTATCATTTTGTGTATCATTTATGACATACGGTATAATTCCGAATTCATACATTTTTAAATATACGAGGTATCACGCGATTCAGCCCGATCGCGGCATCATTTTAAATCGGGAAGTTCAAACGGCGCGATAATTAAGAAAGAGAAACAACGAGTACAAATGCGAAAGATTAAACGTTCCGAATAAAATAATATAAAAAGAACACAAATATTCAATAAATTACTCGTACGCCGCTTGAACCTTTACCTACTACCTTTACGAGTTAACTTATATCTTCGTTCATGCATAATCGTATCAATATCGCCCATTAAATTGCAAATGCATTTAGCCGGATAATTTAGATCGAATTTATTTGAAATTCTCAAATAAGGACTATTTTCGAGCTGGACCGTCCTAGATTCTGTTAGTAGGATATGCTATATAACTTGCGTTCTCTAACGATGACGCAATTAACGCGTCCCTCGTCAAATGTACAGTTAACCTGTATACAGAAAACTTTCACTTCATTTTATAAGCACTGTTAAGTATACAAATATTCCGAGGAAAAATTGCACACATTGGAAGATTTCTCAAAGAAACACGTTTACACCGAAGTATTTCTTGTTTTACAATTCTACAAGAAGCGTGTTAAGTATAGTAGGTAAAGAGGCTCTAATTTGCATATTTCTAAAAATAGCTTTTGCTAAAAACATATCCATGACTGGAATATCATACTAATCGCGTAAGACTTTTTATCACGTTTTAAATAGACTATATTTAGACTCTTTGTCATATCGCATTCGTCTCGCTTACTGCATGCCAAAAAAATTATTAGTAAAAAATATTATCTTGATATAGAATTTCGATTTTAGCAAATTGAATTAATGTTAAAAACAATAAAAAAAAAAATAGATAGCATCGCTCGGCAGATAGGATCTTATAGGTGTCTTATAATTTTTTATTTGTCGTAGTCGAATTTATATCTATAAATAACGGAACAATCACTTGATATCGCGAATTAGTATTAATTCAGCTAAATCAGAATCGTACTATATTTGCAATACAGCCAACAATGGTCTACGTCTAAATGTACAATTGGTTCACTCTCACAACCCGATTCGTATTCTGCAATTGCCGTCTCCTCGAAATCGGACGAAATCATTCGTGACGAAGGCAAGATCGTGGAAAGCAAGGCCGCGTCGTCGGCCATTCATCGCGCTCGTGGAATTCGTGTCAATCGCGTGTAATCCGGACGATCTGGAGGATCTAAGCGTGCGGGGGAAGAACTCGTGCAATGTGCCGTGAGGTACGTCATTCCGTACATTCGCTTCGTCATTCCGTGACATCACGGCACCACGTGTATCGCGAATATCCCGCCGTCATTGTTCGGCGTATCGCTCACGTGTGACTTATTGCGCGATAAACACATCTGGTCCCTCTCGCTCAGACAGAATTAGTCCTCTTGCCAAGTCAGTGTCAAGGTGATCCGTTGTTCAGTTTCCATCATCGGCCGCGTTAATGGGCCCCGTATTCATATGCTACGGTGATATACTCATCGAATCGAAATTTCGTCTTAAGCACGGCGATATATGGCGCTTAATACATATACAGTTTAATACAATATTTCGATAGCATTAATTGTATATAATAATAAGTAATATTTTATTCGAAGATGTTCACACCAATTTTTTTCTATTTTAAGATTGAATCAAATGTTTGCAACGAAAATTTCAAAATTTGACGTAAAATAAAAACTTTTTTCTCTATCTCTAAAACTTGAGAGAATGAAAATATGATTTACTAGCACTACTTACATAGTTTTCAAGATTTTTGTGTTCAAACAAACAAACGCTGTCTCTTTATTATGTTAGTATAGATTTTAACACTATTAAGTATAATATTATATTTCCAAAGTCTTGTGATTTTTTGAGAAAAAATGAAACTGATATCTGTAAAATATTGGATAAAGGCTTAGAATCATCTCAATAATTATTTACAAGCACTCGTTTTCTTATCATTGATGCGTCGGCGAATGTAACCATCAATTTTTAATGATTCTTATTGGCTGTAATTTGACGAACGTGCAGTGGACTCAATTGAATTCAATAAACATCGATTAATCCCCTGGCTTGTTGCTTTGTCATGTTGTCATTGCACATAACATGCATACACGCGAATAGTTCAATACGTATTAATAAGATATTTCATCCCTTGAATTAACTTATTGCAATTGCTACGAATGAAAGACACGCTGGTTTCATTTCATTTAACTTAGATTGCCTTTATATTAAATACAGAGAGAATGTAAACGTTCGGAATTTCGATGTATTATTACTATTATGGAATATTATTTATCCAGAAATTGATAATATTAAATTGTCATTTTTTTTTTAAGTTGTAATGCTTTTTCAAACATTAATTATTTTAACGGGATGAAACGTAAAGCTTTTAATTTATTAATATTACGAATATCAAAAGAAAATTGTAAATATAGAACATTGTAATAATAAATAATTGTAAATATTGAATATTATAAATATAGAATATAGCCTTGGAAAAAAACCAAGCTGAAATATCTTATTTTTATATCTTATTTTTTTCATATCAGATAATAAGTGTGATAACATGTGTGAAAGTTTAATATGAAGAAACAAAATACTTCAACATTAATGTTATCTATCGTCAAGAAAAGTAGAGCGAAATAATTACGTAAAGATAAGGAAATCCAGCAATTATCATCTAATGCAATAATCCCCCTTAGTTATCAATCAAATGGGTGAAAAAAATTGATCTAATACACTTACCTCATTCCAAAAATTCAAAATTATATTTAAAGTCAATTTCAAAAATATTCATTAATCTTATTTGAAATTTATTACGTTTCAAATTAAAATCAACATTTCTGCCAAATATTTTACATTTTCTTCATACATGCGAATAAAAGCGAAAATAAAGCAAATGCAAATGCTTTCTAGACAATAACGAAGACATTTGTCTTAAAATGGAAAACTTCTTCGACGCGAAGATATGTCTGTCAAAATTACACACGATATAATTGATATTAAATTTCATTAAAGTCTACTCAACGACGCAAAATTCACGACGTGAAGATCATTCAGCAATCTTTATCCGTACGTCCTGAATTCGCCACTCGTCGAGAAAACCGAGCGTCTTGTCAAAGGGAAAACTCGAATTGATACGTTATAAGGAAACCGCTCGTCTGACTCGTGAGACGGGCAAAATCAAACGATCGCCCGTGCAGAAATCAAGTGAACGATCGGAAACAGGATGGAGATGGAGGGGCACAACGTGCATGGGGGAAAAGATTTTGAAGGGAGGGGGGGGGACTCTCTTACAGGATTTATATATACGATCTCGCGCGGACATTTACTAGTCGTACACCCGGCTGAACCAGCCCGGTTCACGTGATCGTCACCGACCCATCATATTTGCCGCAGTTTCTAGGGAGAACCGTTGCGGATATATCGATTGTTATCTGCATAATCAGTAACTTCTGATGGTGAGCTTGATTTTCTACGCGAAGCGCGAAATCGTCGCGACGATTGACCGTGTCGGACTATAGGTGTGTCGAACCATGCACTCGTTATTGTTAACCAAACTAGACATACTGTTATCACGTGATTCGCGCACTTTATCGTCGTTCTTCACCGTTATTATGTTACAGATAACGACATTAACGAAGTAGCCATCGATAACGAGACATTACGCAATAGAGATAAACTTTCACTGAAAAATCATTTTGTATAATTTTTTGAAGGACGATCGTGTCGCCAACCAGACGATTCAATTATCGTAGAATCGTCCACAATACACGCGCGTAATATTCGAAATAATCTAAATACTTAAAATATAAAATAAAATTTAATAATTTTTTTAATTTTAACGCGAAATATAAATTCTTTTATGATCGTGAATATTACTGAACTTTATTAAGATTATTACGTGAACTTTATTTTTCTTCAACTCTTTTATCTAAAGGACTATATTTCCTTTAGCCTCAAACTTCTACTACAATCATCTGCAACAAAACCTCATGATCTTAAGATCAAGCTCAAGGACTTCGAGCATCGGAAACTACGAGGAAATTCAATCGGCAAAACTCCGATTGGAGATTAAAGTCGCTCAGTGATCGCATTTATCAACAAGCTGGATTCCTTACACGGTACCCAGACTGTGGTTGAAAGTGTTTGCTCACCGGGATGATAACTACGTAGTTTTAGATGTAATAGGATCGAGAGGATCGAGAGGATCGAGAAATCCTTCAGATCATTTGTATTCTTCCAAATGCGATTGAATCGATCAATCGATAACACACAGTGGTATGTTTCTTGACTTTATCTCGAATATAAGAATATTAAATCAAACTTAAATACATTACATTTTTTTTAAATATAATCATCGAATAAAATTATCGAAATTAATTTTTTATTAAATTCTTTACATTTTTTTAATCGGATGGATAATTTAAATAAAAGAAATTATGTGTAAAAATATACATAAATTTTGGATGGAAAAAATATCTTCTTTCTCGCTCAAAGGCCTTTCAAACGATATTACTTTGAAAACTAACGGCTAATGCAATAAAGTAGACAATATTGAGCGGCTGTCGTTCAAAGTCATTCAAAGAAGAATTTTTTCTGTCAACGGATGAAATTTTTTTGACGCTCACTCCCTTTCGATTTCTGATCATGAGCATGCATATTTCAATGGACTTTAATAAAAAGCTTCTCGTTACAGACGTTCTTGTGAAGTCGGTTGTAACGCGCAGAGATTGGATGTCTCTGCATCTCGATGGTAGATTTTAACTGTCGCGGCTGAGCGAAATTTGACAGGTGAGTGAGCGCTATGGCGCAAATTTCTATCGATAAATCAAGGACGGTAAAAACCGGCAGAGTGCATAGTAATAATCGTGATTGCTCGCGAAACCAACTGAAATAACGCTACAGATAATGAACGGCGCGTCCGAGACAATGGCGGATATAAGCCGAGTAAAGTAATGAATTATTACGTTACTACCCACACTTAATCTGCAACTATTGCCGGTATCTCGGTCTTGAAATATCACACCATCAACATCACACACACACACACACACACACACACACACACACACGCGCGCGCGCGCGCGCACACACAAATTATGCTTTTTCTAAACTCAACACAGTTGCAGAAAATTTCGTGTAACTCTTCTTTGCGATTATTAATTATTTATAAACATTGTTGATTATATACAAAGTCTCTTTCGCGTGCATATTGAAGGAACACTAGAAAAGAGATGTCTGTATATGTCGAAATGTCGATCTCTGTTAGGATGGAATGCGTGATGGGAATTTTGCACCGCATGAATTTACGACAAAGCGGTCCGTCATTTTCATCGATCGTGCAATGATTTAATTTCCGCGAAACTAGCCGTGAAATCAAAATCGATCAGCGGTAACGGGAGGAAGGGAGACCTATCGCTTAGTGTCGTGCGTTCGGCCATCGGCAAACATGTAGTTATTCGAAACCAGGAAAAACGAGGGCATTGAATGCGGTTGCAAATAGGTCGTAAGTCATTAAAACACGTTTTGCGCACGTACAATAAAACACGCGCTGCTGGCTTTCGTAAAATCGCGAGAATTTCTCGCACCTCTAGCGATTTTCGTGCATGCGATCCTTGCCGTAAATATTCGCGATGTGACCATCGCAAAAAATGTTGAATAATAAATAAACCGAAGTTCAAGTTTGTTTTTAAATAATAAACATATGATTATTCCAGCAACAAACAACAAATTGAAACAATTAAATAGTCTACATATATGCGGAGCCTGAAAAATATACATTTCTGCAATAGTTATAGAAATTATTTTAAATTATTCATTGGAAAATTATTTTGAAATCTTTTGTTTAATTTTTGCAAATTTTTGCATTTCGATATCTGATCGTATAATAAAATATATAATAAAACCTGTATATAAAATATGCATTGTAAATTATACGATACATAATGGTAAAATAATATTTTAAATGTTCGATAATTTAATAAAAATAAAATAGTATTTAGAAATTAAGTTACACATAAAAAATAATATTTTGCACAGTGTACATACGAAAATTTTCATTAAAAAAAATAATACGTGTATAGCTTTACGTAAAAAATTCGTAAACGGAAATGTGCTTGATCATGCTGCCGAATCTCGAAATCGTATCGCCGAATCGAATAAGCTCGTTATCGTTATTTCGGCTGATATTACATTAATGCATTAATCAGTGAAATTCTATGCGATGGAGAAAGGAGAAATCAAGTGTTATCACGAATATCTACTATATCGTACGTGAACAAGTTATTTAATCGAGTCAATCGGTCGCTGCAGTCTGTTATCGCCGATAAAATTCCGCGGTAGACACGAACGAATCTTTAACGTTTGACAATAGATATCTCTCTCTTACTATAAAAATATCACAAGTTATAGCTTCAAAATTTAACGCTGATAGGTTTTTTTTCCATTTTAGTTTTGTTGATACTACGTTTCACTGATACAATACTGTTGCTGTCGTATATGGGCTTTTTGAAAACGGAATAAAATGATAAAATTTCAATGAAGCCATTTATACTATTTCGCAAAAACTACTGCACGTGCGCGTCAAACGCAACTGAAAAATAAATAATTTCGAATCGGCAAAAAAAAAAAAGGAAGAGACCGATTGTCGACATTACAGCGGCATGAACGTCACCAAGGAAGGCGCATAAATATTGGCCGACCGTGCCAGTCGATTAATCCGCGATCGCGTCGATATTGATATTAAAACTCAATAAATTGTGAATTATTCATGAATGCGCGCGGAATCGGGCACACGAGCTTACGCGAGCTTTTTAACTTCTTCATACCAGATCGAGCTTTATCGATGCCGAATAGAATAGCGACAAAAAGCACGCGCACGGCACATCGCGCGAATACAGTGTTAACGACGCAAGTTTGTTTTTGTTGAAAATTCCGCAGAATCGCCTACAGCGTATCGTAAACAAAACTGCACTATTCGCAACGAGTGGAAATTTCGCAACGGGTCTGATATGCGATGCACGATTTGCGGTGCCGTATACGCGAAGCATACGCGTACGTATTCTATTATTAAGCAACGAGACAAGATCGATCTAGGTACGGCCCGCCGAATCGAAGGCGACTTGAATTCTCTCTCGTGTAGTCAAGGTAAAACGGACAAAACGGTAACCGCGATAGCGACGATAAAAATGTTATTAGCACCCGTAGCATTCGTTCTTGATTAACGTAGCGTGGCCCCGCGTTATTGCGCGAGTTATTGGCACTGCCGGTGTCGGTCAAGGAATTTTCTAATATCGAGCCCCGGAACGTTGCGCGATCCTTTTCAGAATCGGAATGAAAAGAAGCGGAAAGTGTACAAATCCTCGTGAAAAATTTTTTTGAATCGAGGAGAAAGCACTCGGGATCGAGCGACGAGTCTTGCTCTTGAAAAATAATGTGACAAGAGGTGGAACTGCAAGACTACCACGTTTGGCGACAAACCGCCGTGATGAATGACGAAGAATTAATTCCTGGGAAAACTGGGAACTTCTTATTAATTAACTCGCGAGCTTTCTTATTCTCGACGCCGCGGATAGCGCGTTGCCGTTCAGGCACGTTGCATACTTCTCGCGTGCCACGCGATATCGATCGGCGACGAGACAATGTGCCCGACTTCGTTATCGATGCACATGTGACTCACAAAGCGTTCTTCGTCATAAATAAGACAATCCACGCGAGTAGTTTCTCAGCATGGACCGCCGACCAGACGTTAGAACGATTAGTATCCCTTAATCGAGACGTTTAATAAGTTGACGATTCATGTCGTGTTAAGATAAAAATCGTCTATGAATTAATGACGTTTATTAAACAAAGAACGTTAAGGCTTTGGTGCGATAAGAGACGACGATACAAGTGAGCACGAGTGAGACGCCCGTTTAAAACAAGAAATTAGTGTTACCTTATCTAAAGATATTAGATTAGAAAGAAATATAGTTTGCTTTATTGACGAGATATTAATCGGCTGTGATTAATTAATCTTAAAAAGCGATTAAAGAGAATGATTTGATGAATTAAGCTGCAGCCTTGCGAATTTAATTATGTCCTGCAGAATTAACGTGAATTTATTTTCAAATAAAGCTTATATCCTTCTGAGTTATTCGCGTCGCTCTTGTCGATCCGGCATACGGATTTTATTCCATTTCCATTATCATGATAAATAACATTACACATAAAATTATAACGAAACGTCACCAAGTCATAAGCGTCAGAGCGACGATAATTTGACCGTTATAATGAGAAATATAAATAGAGCTTAATATACACGGCCGCTTATTGTTCGAGGATATCGGACACTCGACTGCGCGAATTAGCGATTCGGCGGAATGGGATAAACAAATGGCATAATTAAATATTCACTCCCGTTCCACTGATTTGTAAATTCGACCGGATTTCATTCCGCCAACGGCATACGACGACACCACCATTTTTATTTATTTACGCGATGACACGTTACCAGCCGGAAATTGCGTATTGCCTATATCCCATACACGAGCGATATGTATATTATATTTCGCATTACATTGAATTTTACAACGCGGTACATCGCGCGAGAAACGGGGATATATTTATTTGAACGCGCGCGCCGCAATTAATTCGATTATCTACTTACGCGTTATGTACGTGCGCGCTCTGGTTATTAACTGTCACAATTTGTACGCCGGGAATTTCTACTTTACACTTTGCAATTTTGCCAGCTAAAGAGATAATCGCACTTGGCAAAGCCACGCAAAGTAATTCACACGTTTTCGCAAGAAAATCGCATGCATACAAGACGATTCTACGAATGCTAAACTCCGCTACGTTCTTCCACGTCGATTATTTTTTTATAAGCGGAAATGTGAGAATTTTAATAATTTGTCTCTTCGAGAATTTGCAAAATTTGAAAAGAAAAATCGACTCGAGGAATATGAGAAGTTTTAATTATGCGTAGTATTGCGTTTCATAATCATCCCGTACATATAAATCATCAAGAATACCGGTTTCACTATTTTTCACGTACATACTTTATGAATAGCTACATCATGTACTGACTACTTATGCATACATAATAGCCAAGTAAATGCTTGTAAACCAGATTCTGGAATGTTGATTGCACTTTCCACAGATCACGATTATTAATAGAACGAGTAATTATGTATCTTTGACTTGATGAATATCTCGTCTAATCAGATTTTCGATCGATTGATCGACTGTCAAAGGTGACGCTATGACAGATTCACCATGGCTTTTCCCAAGTGAATCGTTTGCCGCCACTCGATCAATCTCAACATCTAGCAATTTCATTAATTAATAATGAGAGACTTCATAGCGAAATTTGAAGCAGGTCAAGATGCAGAAATCAAATGCCACATTTACAATATGACATTAAATTAAATTAAATTATTAATTACAATTATTAATTACAATACATTATTAACATTTTAATTGACACTTGGATTAATATATTTATTAATTAACTCAGTTTTTAAATAATAATACTATATAATTTGCAAAAATCATGCCTATTTCTATATATTCAGGAAAAGAAATATTATTAAAAAATTAAATAGCTAAAAAATAAATTAAAGATATAAAATTAAAATCAAAATGATTAATATTAGTTAAATAATAAAAAAATAACAATTCAACTAATTAATAAAAAATTTCTATCGATGAATTCTATATCTTAAAAATTAAATTTAGTAATCCTTTAGTAATCCCATATACATAATATTTATTAGAGTATCGCTATTTTATATAATAATAAATTTGCG